GATTCTTGTTAACCAGATAATTATTCATTATTTAAAATTAACAACTTAGAAAAAGCAGGAACTAAGAGATGCAAGTTTTATTTACTCTATTTAAGAAAATTATAGCCACTCATTGTTCAAAATTATACAAATGATAGTCAAGGCTTCTAATTTAAACCAATGCAATTAAACTTTACTTAATAAAATGTAACATGGAAATAAACTTTTAAAGGTTTACAATTATTAAAGTTGTAATTAACCTAAAAAAGCATCCAAAATTAAATAAAGCGAGGAAAAATATTACTTGAAAGATTTTTCCTTTAATGGCAAATTCTAATATGTATATAAGTTCTCTTCCAGTAAGTATTTTTAAAAAAAGTGAAAATCAGTTGAAATATAAAAAAAAAAATCAAGAGTTTTCAGCTTCAAACAAATTGTATTTCATGAACTTTAAAAACAGATTAACTCTCCACCATATTTCATGTATATTTTTAAAAAGAAAAAAGAAAATAAGTGCAAAATTTTAATGAGTGAAATAAATTTTTCTTAGTTCAAATACTCCAAACGCTTTCAACATTCTTTATCGAGCCAGTACTATAGCTTCACAACTTTAGATAGAATGATACTTGAACACATGTACATATAATAAAATTATTTAAGTTATCACATACACCTCCACACAGACTAGGATAAAAACATTGAGGAGTGGCAGTGTAAGAGACTAGTCATCTACAATATCAAATGCCATTTGGTCTAGAGTATATTCCTAAAAACCAACATAAGTTTCCAATTATTATTTACATCAATACTTTTAAAATTTTTATAACTGTTTAACATGTTTCACAGTCATTGTGGGGTTATAGAGAAACAGACTTTCTAAAGTATCATTATACATTTTCAGCAACCAGAGAAAATATTTCACATACATTGTTATATAGATAGACAGATATTTAAATATATCATTCAATTTTTTTTAAATATACTTTTCAACATCAGAACACATTCCTTACAAAATATGTTTGAAACAAGCACATCTAAGCATAACAGATATTTTACTTTCTACAGAATGCTATATTTAGCATTGTAAACTCATTACTTAACTTTGTTTAAAATCCATATCCTACACTGATGTTCAACTTCATCCAAAAGCTTTGATAAATCCATATTAAGAAGAGGGTAACGATAATTATAGTTTTTTTTTTAACATATTTAATATAATAAATAGTTTATTTTTAAAATCCAAATCATAACATGAAAAATATATTCATTAAATGCATACACCAGGAATTCACAAACTTTTTACTTCTGTATTCCCTTCATGCCAATTTTAAAGTTTCCAAGCTCCTTTACAAAAGCTTTTAAACTTAACAATAGCTTTTTTTTTAACTTAATAAATTTTAGTTTTTTCGCTACCTTAGAAGTTAAAACTAGGGCCTAAACTTTCATATTTAAAAAGTAGTTTTTCAAATTTGAGATTAAATGTACTGAATAGTTTTTGTTTTAGAAGACAAAATATCAATCATTAAAAATTTAGAAAAAAAATTTTTTTTTCATTTTAAATTTTATGCTAACAGTTTATATAACCAAGAATTATAAAAACACTATAGACGCTTATCATTATTTTACAAGAAGCTATTTCTGCTAGTTAACCTAAATGACCCCAACTTGCAAAATGCTAATGTTCTTCTCAGAGGTTGATCTCTAAAGTTTGAGAATCACTGCTTTTTTTCCTTTGCTCAAAGAAGAATTACACATTCTTATGGATAGTGTTTTCAGCACAAAAATAATTAAAATCCACTGCCAGAAATGAACTTGCTCTGATTACAGTTTATATTGTGAGGTGATATTCATAAACAGTTGATTTTATTGTCATCAAAACAACTAAATAAAGGTAGGAACTACATTTGCTGTGATTCCTAAAATCTATTCTATCGTTTGAATTTGATAAAACAACTAAATAAAGGTAGGAACTACATTTGCTGCGATTCCTGATATCTATTCTATCATTTGATATATCTCTTTCACATTTAATAATTTGTTTTTTAAATGTTACCAATTCAATTACCAATGTAGAAAGAAATTGTCTTTTTATACATAATTTTGCTGTTGGGTTTGATATTGCAATGGATTCTGCCTACTCTTCTATTTTAAAGAATGTATCCATAATTAATAATAATTTTTCAAAAAATAATATTTAGTAATCAACAATTAGCCAGGGCAACCGATAATTGCAAAATAGAGCAAATACAATAAATGAAAAGTATAAATTGGTAATGAATTCAGAAAAATGGCTATGGAAGAAAACACCACCCATTAAGTAAGAAAATTTTCTACCCATTTAAGAAAAAATATGAGACCTTATAACAATACCTTATACTGTTCATTAAAAGTGTATATGAAATATATATTATTTTCAAGATTCTATTACATTATCAACAGATATATACATATATATCCATATAATTTTAAAAAGCATATGAAATAAGCATTGTTAAAATGTTTATTAAAATAATTGATAAATTAATAATGAACATTATTTTAATAATGTTTATTAAAATAATATAAAGAGTTCAAATTTTCAAAAGTTAACTAATTTGTTAACTTTTCCTTGAAAATACTTCTTTGTTTTGACTGTGGAAATTTTAAAGACAAAGAGTACTTTTTTCCAATAATTATTTTTATAATAATTATTTTCATCTATGTCACATGCTTTAAAAGTTACTGAATTGTCAAAGTTTGATGGCATTTAAGTTTTAATACACTGAAAAATATTTCTTCAGTATATACTATTACTTTCTTTAGAAAATTAATTATGATTTAGTATTAGGATCATCTAACTTCTTTCTTTCACTAAAAGTAAGGGGAATAACGTTTGCTGCAAAATTTTAGTTTCATAAAAGCACTACTGCAATGTACATAAATATCATTTTCACAATCCACAGATAGTATGGAAGTAGCACTTCAGTTATTGGTTTAAATCTGTAAAACTTTGCATAGAACACGATGGTGAATACCTCAAGAGTATTTAAACAAAATCTCATTCATATCAAACTTTTTAAATAAAAATTACTGATAAAGTGAACAGTTTTTATTTATTTTTGAAAAACATTTAGTATTAATGTCCTAATAGTAGTAGAACAAAAAAACAAAAAAAGAAAACATTTTTTATGAAAAAAGAAGATTAATATATAAAAACTATTACTTTTTTAAATTTGATAAATAAGTCTTTTTTTAATTTTCTAAATATATAAGTATTAAAAACAGGGGAACATTTTTGTGCATCTTAAATGTCAATTTCATAGGTATTTATACAAAATTGAATCACATCACTTCAATTTCATTGCAATGAAATTTCTATAGCAACTGAATAAGATATGTAAATAAAATGATGAAATCACAAATAGATTCTTAAGTAAAAATGAATGACAATTGTGACAAATAGCACACAAAATAGAATTGCACTTGAATCAGAAGATTTGATTGTGAAAATATTGCTTAACTTACTAACATTTTCTGCAAATGCTGTCCCTTTTAAAAATTAAAGTTTTGTACATATATTTTTTTAATTAATAATATCTTTTTAAGTACAAAAAATTGTACATTTTATAATTATGGACTAGAATTATGAATGAAAGAAATGAAAATGGAATGAATTTAATTCCAAAAATGAAAGACTTATTTTAAAAGTGAAATTAAAAGTTTGCGTGGCATAGTAATTATCAACAGTAAGAGCTTTACCACTACTTATTTATTTTTTGAGATAGCTATAAAGAAACAGGTTCTATAAATTTCATAAATGCCATATATATATATTATATTACAAAACAGAAAAGAATAGATTTTATTTCAATAGGTATTGATAACTAAATCAATATTTTTACGCCCCCTGTAATTTCTTTGTTATCATTTGCAAATAATGATGACACAATTGCCAATTTTCTATAAAATTTGCTTGTTACAATGATGCCAAATGGTAATGTGTAATTACTGTAATTGTTTTGAGTTTGGCATATTAAATTTTGAATTTAAAAGACCATTCTTGGTCAAAAATGAAATGCTTGCATTACAAAGAATGTTTTAATATTTGTTCGAATTAATCGGTTGAAAGAATTAAAAATAAACATCTAACAGGAATTGTGACAAGTTTCAGTTAAATTATAAGTAGAAGCGTGTTATTTATTGATTAAAAGTAGAATATCTTAAAAGTGAATTAAATATGTCAAAATACTGTTTTAATATTATAACTAAACTTACCACACAAAATAATAAATTAATGCACTTATAATGAAAATATTTTTTTTTTCATATACAAGCTCACTTAAAAAGATTTTGAAAAATAATAATTTTTAGAGAGAGTAACTTGTTTTGGTAAGCATTTAATTTAATATAACTTTAAAAAATATAGCATATAATATAAAGTTTTTACACTAATTGCTATATGGTAATAAAACTAGCATTTTTTGCACAATTGTATGAAAAACTAAGGCTGAAACTTGACTAAATGAGAAAAATATTTGTCTGCTAACACACATACAACTCACAGATAATACTACAATATTTTAAAGCTATTTCATTAAAAATCATTCTTAAAATTTAAACTTTAATCAACACTTATTCTTTAATTGGAAAATTCCATCCTTACTTTCACAATAGAAATTTTAATATACTCAAGAAAAAGCTGGGAAGAATAAGTTTTTCACAAGTTGAAGAACTTTTTCACCAGTTGAGAGTAAAATAATATTTCATTTAAGTACAGTCACTAATTCGAAATGTAAACTTTAATGTTTCTGATATCAGATATTTTAATCTTTTAAGCCTTTGGTTCAGACTTTCAAGCTATACAGCCTGTTTTACAACATTGAAAGTTTATTTTGCATGTTATTTATTAAGAAATAGTTCACAAAAAAGGAGAAATAAAAACTAAAGCTTAAAGAGTAAAACTTGAAATAAGTATTCAAAAATTGACATAAATTTTACAACATAATTATACTTAAGTATATTTAATATAACTGCCTGTTTTATCACCTAACAAAAATAAAACTTTCTCATTCAAATATTTTTTTTTCTTTAGTAAACCAGATTTTATAAAAGTTATAACTAATTAAATGTGACATATGACAAAGAATTAAACTATTATAACTTTTAGAAGTACAAATTTAAGATAGTTATCACATACTTGGTATTATAAAGAAGATTTTCCAAAAGAAAGACATTGTATGCTTTCAAATTTCTGACAGAGAAGTCATAAATATTTGAAACAACAATATATGTGCTTAAAAGAGCTATCAATGAGTACTGCAATATTAAGAAGAAAAGTGGAACTTTTCCCCCAGTTCTTTTAAATATCATTTTAGCATAAACATTTTGAATGACTAATAACAACAGAAATATTTATTACATTAGTAAAGTAACTTAAAAAAGCAACATGGAAGGAATAAAAGCTAAATCAAGAAATGAACTTAAAAAAGATATGGCATAGTAAAAAAAGAAAATTTATCTTCATAGTTAACCTGAAAGTTAACAGTGCTTTTAAAAGGAAATGAAATGAAAAACTTGGTGGTGCATTTGAAAAAAAAAAAATAAAGATCTTCTTTAATATATATGATGAAAATGACAGAGCTCTTTTTAGTAAGACCCTTTGTAACAAGGTTCTTTTACTTAATGACCATATTGGATAGACTAAAAAAGGATTAAAATCGTGTTATTTCCTTTAAAATAGAAAATACAAGACTCAGGTACTTTAGTAATATAAGTTTCAATATTAAATATAAACTTAGAGCGAACATTACAACCACTTATTTTTAAAAACAAGGTTTCAGTTAGTCTGTAATGTGCAACTTGTTTTGAAGAAAATACAAACATTAAATTGGTGAAACTCACAAATCAATAATTGGATATAGAATTTATACATCTACAACAGAAATAGTTCTTTCAAATAGCTTTTACATTTCTGTACATTCGAATCTTGAACACATAAGTATCACATAATACTGAACACATTGGGTAGCATATAAAATGCACCTATAGAAAGGTTATTAAAATATGCTACATAAGTTACTGAATATAAGTTACATTTTGAAATAAAATTGTTACTAAGCTTTGATGAGAGGTATTAATCCAGTACAAAGTGATGAAAAGTAACAAATATCAAGAACAAATACTCCATATATACTTTTCTTGATTAAATAATCACATATTATATAAAGCTTATAAGTACAGGTAATTAAACATTAAAGCAGATCAACCAGCTTTCTATATATGTTTATCCATAAATATTTGTAATCACTCACATTTTTAAATAGTAAATATTAATATTAAACACAACTTTAACATAGAACAAGGAAAAAACTAGAACTTAATAAATACAATCATAAACAACAATTTTTGAAATAATTTGCAACTAAATCTTTCATTAGCCTTTTTTTTAAAAAAGCTATTCACGCAAAATTATATCCAAACAATTGAAACTGTTATATTTTTATAGCATGAATATGCAACAGTCGGTTAATATGTAATACTCAGAAAATATTTAAGAAGCTTATAAAGATACAAAAACATAAAAATGTATATAAAGACTTGGTAACATTAACAACAAAATAAATACTAAAACTTAAATTAACAAGATATACTAAAAATAAATTTCGACTTATCACATGTGAAAATGCTTCATATCTAACATAGGAAAAATACACAAATTTTTAATAAATAAGGAATCTGGATAAAAGTCAACACTAAACCTTCTAAACACAACTTATGTCTAAGATGATGTCATGAAAAAGAAATAAAAATAATTGAAATAATTACAACACTCAAAAAATAGTAATGATGATGAATGATAACGTTTAAAAACGTAATTCCGAATATTACACCAAAATTTGACAATTTGAATTTGAACAATACTTTTATAAATGCAACTCTAGCCATATTAGACAAGGATATGAAAAGTTGTTTAGTATGAAAGTAGAAGACGTTTACAAACACTTATTTTAAAAATTGCTGTTGATTCACAGAATCCTTATGAAAAAATCAAATAAGAGCTAATCAATGAATAAATGTAAATATTGTTGACTAAAATCACTTATTTTCAAATGATACTTCACATTTACAAAATGGAAGCACAAGGAGTCACATTATAAAACATAAATATTAAACTGTAAACTAATATAAATATGAGTAAATAAAAATTATGGGGTGTAAATAAGATTCTAAATCAAATCCTTGCTAAGCACTTATTATTCCATTAGGAAAATGATTTTGCCCAGGTGAGCAGGCAACATGTGTGGCAGTGTTGGTAGCATTAGGCAAATATGGTGTAGCTGCTTCATGAGACAAATATTCATTTCCAGAGTTTCCATTTCGCCTGCAATGACATGGACGGAGGAGCTTAGGATATATAAGTGCCTCTCCATGGGGACCTCGAAATATAATACCACAGCAAATTCTCTCTCTAAAAAGAATGAAATGTAATTTAAGAACAAATTATTTAATGATTTAAAAAATATAAAGCAGCAAATAATATAGACAGGGTGTGTAGCCAAATCTTGCAACAAAAAATAAGCAACTTTTAAGTACTTTTTAAGGGCTCAAAACATATTTTTAAGCACTATCTATATACATTAACAAAATGCAAAATAATTCACTAAGACTTTACATGATCATGATAAAATAACTAGTTTTTGATTAGCTCCTTTTTTATTATATTAGCCATTAAAAAATGAGCAAGAGATTTCAGAGGGTGGAAAATGAAGCTTGAAATTGAGAATATCATGCAAAATGCAGAAGAGTTGCACGTGAAAGCGCCATGATCTCACAGAACCCAGCTTACTATACGCACATGCGGACTAGAAAGTATTTCATCAAACCAGTAAAATGATTGGCGCTTTCATACGCTATGAACCGACGATATGATGAAATTGATTTTGGTTAAATGAATTGTGAAAACGTTTAATAGAACAAAGTGAAAAGCATGCTTTTGCATAAAACGTGGCTTGGCAGAGAAAAAAAATCTCATTTTCAAAAAGGGAAAATTAAGCACTTCTTAAAAACAACCAATGAAAAAAAACATCTTTAAGGGCTTTTAAAAAACAAAAATCAAAAATAAGCACCATTAAGCACTTGTTAAAAATGCTACGCACCATGATAGAACTCAATTATTACTATTGACAACAGAATGACTCCTGAAATAAAAAACCAACTCTATCTTGGAAATAAGGCTGTCTAAGGACTGAGAAGATTTATTAAATCTAGGTATCTTTCTAGAAAAACAAAGCTCTTAATCTACATAACTCTTGTCAGGTCAGTTTTGACATATGCTTTTAAGACTTGGACAATGACAAAACTGGAGGAAAGTTGTATTGCATTATTTGAGAACTGTACAAGATTTATAAAATCCTGATATTATTAAATACATAAAAATAAATAGAATGAGTTGGATAGCCCACGTGATTTGAAAGAGTGACGACAATAAATACAATAAAAAAGATGCTGCTTTTTAAACCCACTGGAACAAGAAAGCGGGGAAGACCGCAGTTGACCACAGGGCTGACTCGGTGAAGCCTGATTTTCTTGCAATTAATGTAAAGAATTGGAGATCAAAGATAAATCGGAAGTCATTATGGAGAAATCTTCAGAGGAAGGCATTGGCCCACATTGGGCTGTCTGGCCAACTATGATGATGATGAAATAACATAGAACACATTGTAAAGAGAAAACATTAAAATAGTCGAAAATTTAGAGTCTTCGAATAATTTTACGATCTTTACATAGAAATGTCAATGATTTAAACCAAATAATTAAAATTAGCTTATTTATTCCTGATTATAATCAGTCTATTTTTTATAAAACATTATCCATTTAAATATTTAAAGTAAAAAAAAATTGTATGTTGGCACTAATTTTAATATGCTAAAAACATTTTGCTTGACCTAAGCACAAAGTGCTTAAGTCTGTTCATAAGTAATTAATGATATATTATTATGGCGTTTGAAATAGACTTGGTGCTTAACAACTGTATCCCATAAAATATCATTCTCATATTTTGTAAATTAATGCACATTGTCACTCAATTTTATCATTTAATAGTATCTACAAATAATTATGCGCGTTTTTGAGAGATGAATCTAGAAGTTATACCTTAACCTTTAAATTTATTAACTAAAATTCAGGTAAATTAACGAAATTATATTTACTTTTGAAAAACAATTATTAAATAATATTTTAAAATTATTACAATGCCAAAACCTATTCGCAAACAGAATGATAATCAAAACTTCTTTACATTTCTTTCTTTATATAAATCCTGCACTTTATTTTTTTTATATTTTATTGTCTTTTGTATTTGCATTTAAGAAAATTTCATAATCACGATTTGAATGTCTTATAAAAGCAACAAAATATTTTTAATTAGCTCTTTCAAATATGTTTATGAGATACAAATATCTAGTTCATACTACTCACTCTCGCCAAAAAGTCATGTCTAAAAAGGATGACAATTTATGATTATATGATGAATTGGCATGTTGTGCAATTTGACTGAATATATCATTATGCCTTTGTTTATCATCAATAATGTCTGGATCCATATCATCATCAGGTTCTTCGAGGATAGTGGAATCATCAGAAGAATTACTAGGAGAGGGACTTGGCACTCGACTGTGTGGCACTGAGAGACCTGAAGATTCACTAAGGCTATCTTCATTTCCTAATAACATCAATGAAATGTAATGTTAATTAATTATCCCCTACAGAATAATAAATGAAACAATTATATCCATTTAAATCCAACTAAGAATTTTTGTTTTCTCTCTAACAGCAGGTATTGAACTTTCGTTCTTCACCTCGGAAGATGTCGGAAGTGTTGTGCATTTAACGTTACCCAGTGGGCACCTGTGAACCTAAGTCACGGAGGCGGGCAACATTACCCACACCCCACTGCCACAAATACCCGTTCATAGGGTGGGCCACATTCACACACAACAGAGGACAACACATAGAGGAAAAACATCCATGTCCAGAGCAGGATTCGAACCTGCGGCCATTGGTTTCGCAGTTAGGCACACTAACCGCTCGGCCACCTGGCCGGCAAACTAAGAAATAAAGAGCTTAATTGAAAAACTTTTTAAAGAGAAATTTAAAAAAAAAAAAAAATTAAACTTTCTTAAGGAAATATCTATTTTAGACTCATTCTGAAATTATACCATAAAATTAATTTATTTTATTCAGTCCTTAAAATTTAAAGATCTCAGTGGATGAAGGCACTAAATGACAATCTTTGAGTGTAAAAAAGTGGTAAGAAGTTCTAGGTGCATATGGCAACAAACATTCAACAAGTAAACCTAAAAAAAGCCTCTTATATGAAGCAATGTAACCAAAAGTAAAAAAACTATGACCTGGACAATTTAAGTAACTGTTAGAGGTTTATAGATTTTGCAAACTGGAAGTTTAGGAACAAGAGATAAAGGCAAAGCAAAATCTTTATTTCTTATTGTCAACATTTAAAATTTAAAGCAAGTACGAAACAATTCATTAAAACATAACTTAAAGCCTTTATCCTCTTACTTCTTCAAATATAAAAAAAACTCTTACATTTTTTTAAAAAAAGGATTAAGACTGGCAACCTATTTTTTTCATTGCTAGCATTGATCATGAATAAACAAGACATTCATAAATCTACCAAAAATATTAATACTTTAAAAATATGAGATATATTCTGAAAAAATGTAACTCTCATTTTTTTAAAACCCAATTGCTAGCTAATGTAATAAAATGTCCGCTTAATTTAATCACAAAAGTACTACCACTTTATAATGTAACTTTTCTCATTATAGCAAAATACTAGTATGGCAGTCAAATGGCAAAAATAACAAAATGAAATTGTTGCAACAAACTTATTTATTACTAGAATCATTATTTTTTTCATAACTGTTGTTGAACAGCCGACTGAATTTTCAGTTAACGATTACCTTATAACTCCTTAGCCTTCTGATTTTTAACCCTATCCAGAAGACAAGGGAACTCCTGGATCAAGTATTGGGAGAAATTTGCCTGCATGGAGGACTTTTTGATGGAACTAACCCGCATTTGCGTTTCATGGAGAGGAAAACCTCCTCTGGTTAGCCTGAAGTCAAGGGAAGTCTAATCCATGATTTGTCTACCACTGAAGATATTTTATGTCAGCACTGTGGTCAGTGGAAGTTGTCTGCAGAATTCAAACCTGGTTCACCTCATTGGGAGGCAAACGCTCTATCCTTTAAGCAACCACGGCTCTTTATTATTATTTACATAAATTTATTAAAAAGAATCAATTCATCTAAAATCAATATCAATGAAATTTTGCAATTAGAGAAAAAAAAATTTAAATAAGGCCCTTCAATTAAAGCCTTTTCTATATAATATTACGAAATATTCATTTGGTATTTTATCAAAATCAAACGGATTGATACATTTCTCATGGATAATAGCAGATTTCAATTGATTGAGATTTAAACTTTCATTTTAATAGTAAAATTACCTGTTTGAAATTATCAACTAGTAAAATAAGCTGCAATAAGGTAATAATAGTTTTAAGAAGAGATTCAGAGTAGGAAAATTTTCTGCAGTCACCTGTATTTAAGAGCACTACTTTTACAAGAGTAAATTTTTTAAATAAAGAAAAAGAAGTGTACTGAGTAGCTGAATACAAAAATCAGAAGTTCAAAGCAATTCCCAGCAACTACTTTTCATGTTAGTTTAACAAAGAAACAAACCAACTAATTTTTTAAGCCTGATTGGTGCAATTTTTACGTGCATCTGTCAATGAACACAATTAAAACATATTTGTAGCCGAGCACTTATAAAAATTATGTCTGATGTTTCTGAGCAGCAATAGTAAAGAAGAAACGAAAGTAAAAAACATACAAATAAATACAGTCGGACTTCTATTTAACGAACTTCCATTTTGCCAATTTTTCTATTTTGGGAATTTTTTTGAGGAACCAAGAACATTTTGGAAATTTCTTCATAAAATAACTTCCAAATAGGGAAGTGAATTTTCTATTTAATGAATTTTTCTTTGAGATCCACTTTCCCATTTAACTTTCACTTTCCCTATTTAAAATTACTTTGCGGTTATAATTTTATACAGCAAATAAATACAGTCAAAATTCTATGCATGAATTTAGCTGTTTTTAGTTGAAAATGTATGTAGCATGATAGTGTAACACTGGATAATGTTTTGCTCTATTCTTGTTTACCAAGTAGATTTTTTTATGGCTAAGATTTATAAAATAAATAGTATATACTAGTTTACAAGATTAAGATGTATCAATTGCTTTTATAATTATGTCTAGTGTTTATGAATTTAAAACCTGTTTTGGGTTGCTTAAGCAGTTTAAAAGGCGATTTTCTATTTAACGAATTTTCCATATAACGAACTTATTATCGGGATTTAGCAACTTCCTTAAATAGAGGCTCGACTGTACATTTTTAACTTTTCTTCTTTATTATTGCATTTCACAACTTATAGACATTAATTAGTGTGTATGTTACAGGGATGAGAGTAGTTGGAAAGTAAAAAAGAGGAAATTCAAGAACGAATATATATATATACTCCAACTTATGAGGATTTTGAAAATAATTCTTTCTAGTGGTAGCGAACCAAAGTAGAAATTTTTAAAGCAAATGGATCTCTCNGTGAATACGAATCGCTACATAGGGTTTTAAAAGCGCGTAATTACAAATTGCGATATTGGATTTTTAAATCTCGTAAATAAGAATCGCAATGTACGACATTTGAATCATCTGATTAAGAATCGCAACGTTCAACTTTTAAATCAGGTAAATACGAAAATCAATGTTTGAGGGAGGAATGAGGACTTCAATGCTTTCGCTTCGCGGAAAATTTAATTCCTCACAAAATATTTTTACTTGTGCAAAAAAAAAATTTCAGCGGAAATTAGCGGAAAAAATGGAAAAATCTGAAAAAAAAGCGGAAATCCGCGGAAGAATCACACCCCTGATGTTATGACTATGGTGATCAATCGGCGATTATGAATAATTGCTAAGCAATTATAGGAGAGTTGTCTAAATCATAAAACTTTTTACATTTCAATCACAGATCACAATTACATGTGAAATATTTTAATAATTAAATGTGGTTATTCAATAAGTTATATTATTTTTTTAGTAATAATATTTGAGCAGTAAGTACTAAAAAGTAATTTTCACAGGGTCTACAAATGGCACAATTTAGGAAACCAGTTACCAAATTCATACCACCTGCTCCTTAAATCATACCTACGTCAAAGAAATATTGAGTATTTATGATTAAGTGAATATGTAGACCATGTATTACTCAAAACAATTGTTAATCAACATAATAAGAAATAGTATATTAAATTTTTAAGCTCTCAGAAATATAGTAACAGCATTGTAAAAGTAGATAATGTTAATGGAACATGATATTAAAGGCTTTTTAAAACTGAATCATTTGGATTTAATGGAGAAAATGGTCTCACGAAAGCCTTCAAAATAGAAGGAAGTGGGACAAATTGGTCTATAAAATCCCATTACTAATTATTATATAATTTTTTGACTATTGACTAAACAGAAGGCTTTTTTCATCTTTTTTTACATCTTGGGTATAAAGAAAATAAATCTCATTATAAGAATATTAATTTTTATCAAATTGACTGAAATATAATTTCCTTCTGAATGATTCACATATTGATTAAGCTTTTCTGTGTGAAGAAGTCAGTTTAAATTTAAATTAAACTGACTTCTTAACACAGATGCAAGAAAAGATTTAAATCCCTTTAAACAGAGTTCTCAATTGTTGAGACACACTCACAAGATAAGAAATTCTACATTGGTTGAAATAGTTCTTTGCCACTTTTCTACAGTTTGGGTGAAGTACAGTTTATATGGCTTGAAACTTGGCTTTTTAAAATGATGGATGAAATTGATAAGTTGCTCCTAAATTGTACCAGCACGATTTAGGTTTGTGAGCGAAGTACAATCTAGGTACTATGTAACATTTTAAACAAAGTGTTATCCCAAGCCTCAAGCAATAGTTATCCATCAAAGAAGAAACAAGTAGAACATAACAGAATGAGTTGCAGTTCTTAGTTTTGCAATATCCTTAAACAGGATGTTCCAAAAATTACATTAAAAAATTGTAAAACCGATTAATTTAAATAAAAATTAATGCAAGTACACAATGTCCTAATTTTTCTGTGTGGATCTTCATGTGAAAAGAAATTGCACCCTAATTTATCCACAAGAGCAGGGGTCATCAAAGATGTCGATATCAACTCTTAGTGTTAATTTAGTATGACATGGGGTAGATCAGATTCAATCACAAGGACTTAAAAAATTAAGTGATGATTTTATATTAAGCTTTGGATATGTTTAAAATATGGATATCTCAGAATGTATTATCATGCCACTTTTTGCTAAAATTGAAAATATTGAAAGTCATTTTCAAGGTGAAGTCACTGAATTATTAGTTCATCTTGAATTATGGACAAACATAAATATTATGCAAAAAGATCCAAAACTTAGAAATTAAAAAACTTAGAGAGGGTCAATAAGAGAATTATAAAATCTATTGGGGTCGATGACAAAAAAGTTTGACAGCTACTAGACTAGAGCGTTCTCTATGCAATGCTTTTAAAGAAATCATTGGTGGTAACTTTTCTCAATAAGAAATGTGCCATAGGGACAGCTCTAACTGTATGTTATTCACACAACTCTGATAGGTATCGAAAGAGAAGAAACTCTTGATAGGTGAGTTTTTCTGCAAAAAAAAAAAAAAAAACACTTCACCAGTCAGGTTCTCATTCTCCCTCTATGCTTATCAGAGATATGTGAATAGCATGCAGTGAGAAAAGATATATAATACCTAAAATTTAATTGAGCCATTACAAATAAAAGCTAATTTATGTCTTTAGTCGTATCATCAAATGGAAATGTACACTCAAAAACATTAAAAGAATATGTGAATAAAGAATAGGTCATTTCAAAAGAATGGAAAATATTTTCTCAGAGAAAAAGAAAGAAAATTAAAAACCTAACAAAATTGAAAATGATTGAAATTGAATGATCTCATGAATTGAAATGATCTCATCATTTCTTTAATTAAATACTTGCTGTCAAGAAAGACATTAGAATTTGAAGGTTAACAAAACAAGCGAGTGAAAAATGGTTAATAATAATAAATTTGCTCTTGTAAGCATGAATACATATTTCCTAATAATGTCATGTTTAAAAATGCCAATTTATCATTCAAAACCATTTTAAATATGGCCAGGGGTCTGTCCAGACATTTTGTGAAGGGTCCGTTTTTGTAAAATTGCGAAAAAATTACTTGTAATTTGTGAATATAAAATAAACGTTAAGTCACATTCTTTCAACCAGGGTCCTGCTTTTGTGAATTTGTGCAAATAGGGTCTGTTATTGCAAAAAAAAAAAGTTTTTCAAGGAGTTTTTAAATTGTAAAGACTTACAAGATTATGTCCAACACTGTAAAATTATAATTAAAAAAATTAAAATTTAAAAAATAAACAGCAATTGCTGCTACTAAATTAGAGATGCAACATACAAATATTTGGTATTTAGCCTATACTACTGAATGCAGAATATTCATTTCGGACGAATAAAGGAAGAAGCGTCTGCCGAAGACAAAACTTAATTCGTTTACATCCATCTTTCTTGTTTTCTGCCCCTGGGAAGGGTTTATTTGATTAACAATAATGAAGATAATCAAATTTGTGAAGGGTCCGATAAAAAGATAAATTATTTTGTGAAGGGTCCGTTTTTATGAAAAGATATTTTGTGAAGGGTCCGTTAACGGACCCAAATTTCTTCTAAACAGACTTCTGATGGCTGTAAATTAAGTTCTACAGAAAAGTTAATCTCCTAAAAATAGTAAATGACCATGACCACATTTCGAAAGTAATTTGTAATCACTACATTAAAAAACATAGTTGTAGTTAACTACATGGGATGAGTAGTTGGAGTAGACTAAAAAAATTTAGTTTTCCCAAACACTGAGATGAATAAAGAAAAAGGGTAAAATTTTAGAACTTTTGTGATTTACTGTGGACAAAATAATATAAAGTAAATTTGAAATCAAAATAATAGTAATAAAATTTTTTGATCCCATCTTAATTTTTCGCAGCTTTATCCCAATCTAATGTTTAAAGAGAAGTATCACCAAACAGAGAGAGAGTACTGTAAATAATTATACTAACTCCAGCAGCTAAAAAACTCCATTTAAACAATTTGAACTAATAAAAAAATTAAGCATAAAAACACTAACCTGCAATATCATCAGATAAAACTTCTGAAGCACTTTGCCTACTTCTGCAAAGTCTTAAATGAAGTTTCTTTGAAGGCTGCTTTTCAGGCTTCTGCTTATTTTTGCTTGTGCATTTTGTTCCTGGTCCAGCTCTCGCATCTACTACCTGGAATATCAATTATAACCATATATTTACCAATACATCATCATCGAAATGTCTAATATTCTAATATGAAATAAAACAAGACAGCTACAGGATAGTTATAATCTCAATTACATCATTAAAATGTATGGTATAAATAAGTGCTACAGGAACTCAACTTGCACTGGAATAAGAACTCAAATTCTTCATTAAAATTAACTTTACGTTGAGAGGTATTAAAAAGTCTTAAGATGTAAAGCGTACTAAAAAGATTCAAATATATAATAAATATACATATAGTAATTAAAGCAAGAACATATAATTTTTTTCCAAGTGACTTTCACCATGTGCACTTCACAAGCCTACTCAGATTTGAGAAAAGTAAAATGAATTGCAAAAGATTTTGATATTATTGATAAACATTAACAGTTCATTTAAAAAGAAAAAATAAGGATGATTTGGTTTGAAAGAAAGACATAGTTGAAAATTGATGTTTTTATAAGGAATAAATAGTCAGGATTCTCAAGAAAGAAAAATGCTCGAAAATTTTGTATTATCTCTTTTAAGAAATAGAAAATTGTATTTCCTTCAAAATATTTTGGCATTATGTTCGTAGTTCTGTCAATAGTTGAACTTGAGACGTGATGCTCAGGGGATAGAGCGTTCGCCTTCCAATGAGGTGAACCCGGTTTGAAGCCCGCCAATTGCTGGTCAATACAAATCCACATCCGGGTTGCACCGACCAAAGTGCTGACGCGAAATATCCTCAGTGCTAGAGGCATCATGGGCTAGAGTCCCTTTGCCGTTCGGCTAACCATGGGAGGTTCTTGTGGTCTTTCTCTCCATGTAACGCAAATGCAGGTTAGTTCCCTCAAAAAGTCTTCCACGAAGGCAAATTTCTCCCAATACTAGATAAAGGAGTTCCCTTGTCTTCTGGATTGGGTTCAAAATTACAAGGCTACGGAGTTGAACAATAGTAGTTGTAAACCCGAAAATTGGGTCGGCTGTTCAATGACGGTAATAAAATTATAAAAAAAAATAGTCGAACTAGAAACCATTAAAATAGAGCTATGTCAGTTTATAAAACTAAGGGTTTCTTTAAATTAAAAGGTTTTGTTTATACCTCTTTTGCTAATTACACCATAATTTGCAATGGGTAGTGCTGTCATCTTGCATGGCAGAAGAAATTAGCATAAGGATGCTCGACCATGTAAAGCTATGCACTATGAGTTAAAATTCATGGTAAGACTTCCGGGTTATTGCTTCCCATTGATTTTTTCGCACAAGCTTGAAAAAGCATGCCCTCCAATATTATACTTGTAGGGTTTTCAATATAACACGTTTCTTCAATTTAGCTTTTGATTTGATTTGTTCATTTACGTCGCTCATTTTTGATTTGTTCATTACTGCACAATGGGCTATTGGCGACGGTCTGGGAAACATCTCTGAGATGATCCGAAGACACGCCATCACAATTTTGATCCTCTGCAGAGGGGATGGCACCCCTGCTTTGGTGGCCTGACGACCTGCATGCAAAGTCGAGCACTTTACGGTAGAACAGTTTAACGAGGACCAATACGGCGCACCCTCAGTCCTTACGCAGACTGATCCAAGTGGTCACACACCCGCACACTGACCACAGCCAGTGATGCTTGACTTCGGTGATCTGCTGGGAACCGTGTCTTAACGATCAGTCCACTGCGGGACTTCAATTTAGCTTTAAATGAAGCAAACAACAAATGAATAACTCGGCAAGCTTGCTATGATGTTACTCAAAAATAACAAACAGTGCTATTTTACACAAATATACCCAAATAAGGAATAACACTCAAAGCATGGCTAACCTTACATTTTTTTAATGTTGTGATAATAATTTTCTTAAATTTGTTTTAGGCTCAAAACCAATTAGAATTTATAAATTATAGAAAACTCTTAAGAATGGTAAAATTATACATTAATTTAAACTCAAATCACATTAATAAAACTTCCTAGAATATTAAGTCTGTTTACATATTGACTTGTAAGCATAACATAAGCAGAAGGTTATACCCAGGGCCTGATTAAGCCTAATTGGGGCCTGCGGCAAAAACTTTTTTGGGGGCCCCCTCTACCTCAGTAATGAAGGTATTTAGTATGGAGGAACTTAAAGGTATTTAATTTTGAGGTATTTAAATTTTTCTCCTCATTATGGATAACAAGAAAATTGACTAGAACCTAAAATGGCTATTACGTCCCTCCCCCTTCAATGGTCAGACGAAATATCGTTCTGTCCATTTTATTGATTTTCTGATAGTTCTATGTCCATCATGCCGAATGCAGTTTTCTGGTTGTTAACTTTGTCATCTAGCAGCAAAAAATTCATATCCTTGCTGACATTAGGGCTAAATTTCAGCAATTACAATGGCTCAATATCAGAAGCCTGTATTTTTGCAAACATATAGTATTTTGCAATATGTAAAAATACAGGTTTTTGATTGGCCAAATTTGTCCATCGCAATTGCGAAAATTTAGTCGATTTCCGCCTTAGAAAGCCACGGATTTACGAAATATACTGCCCCATATGCCCCTGCCTTAGTCAGGCTCTGGATATAACGGAAGTTTTTTAAATTTCTTCCGGTATTAGGAAGCTCGTTATTGTTTACATTTAGTTAACCATCCATATTTTGACTTTCAAGTAATTTTTAATATTTAATTTTACGCATTAGATGCTGCTCTGGGGTTGTGCAAAATACATAAGAGTTAACCTATTATGTATACCGCTGTCTCTCTTTCTCTTTTGCTCTCGTAATTACAAAACATCTCCATAACCTCTCTGTCCACCTGATACATGGAACCATGAGTGAAAGCGAGACGGGGAAAAGAAAAAGCTGGTAGTAAAACTATTTCAGTTTTAGCCTGTTTTTGGCTGGTCTAAATCTATTCTCTTCTTCAAACTATTCAACAATATCTACAAGGTGTCTGCTACATTTTAGATTTTCAAATTCGTGACTAGTTCCAAGATTTTTTCATGACTTAAAGAAGTTACTATTTTCTCTGACAAAAACACAACAATAAATTCAAAAAAGCATTATAATAACATTAATTGAAATAATAGGTATAACCAAAACTGTTATACTTTGTATCTTCTTATTTATATATTTTATAAAGAGTAAAGAAAGAGTTGAATCAATAAAATAGCTGAAAAAAATACAAAAGCAAATAATTTGCAGAATTAAAGATACTTTTCTTGTTCCTCGGAAAGGAAAGAAATACTCTTGATTTTTTCTGTTCTCTTTTGGAATTAAAAAAAAAAAACGCAAATTACTGGCTTGCTTCAGCTAGAATTTTAAATTGATAAAATAAAATAAATAATGATAAAAATTCTGAAATCACAGAAGTTTAAAAGATAATTTGCTCTAGAAATGATGTTCTTTCTTTCATTTTTTTGAAAACACCATAATATTTAAAGAGCACAATGAAAACATTTTATATTTTAATAAAATATGACTGTGAGTGGGGATTTTGTTACAAATTCATATATTCGGAATGCCATGAAATTGGGGGGGAGGAGGTAAATTCCATCTTAAAAATTAGATTTTTCCACAACCTAAATTCTTGACTTTTCATGACTTTTTTTAAAAAAATAGTTAAAATTATGCCATTTCATGACAAATTTTGTTCAATACTGAAATCTATGACTTTCCAGGTGCCCGGATACCCTGGATATAACATCAGTCCTACCCTAAAAGTCCCTTAAATACTAAGAGTTTCAAAAATCAAATCAAAATGTTTTTCAAACATAATTAAAGAAAAATAAACTTACATGATGCCAATCTCTGTTTGTACCATTTGGAAGTTTTTTCCATCTCTTTACAAGAAGCACACAAGCATTGCAGATTTCACCTGAGCGTTTCTCACTCATTCGAAAACATTTTTCAAATTCTGATTCATATTTTTTACTATCAGTAAATCTTGAGCTTGATGACTTGGCTTTGCAAATACAACAGCCATTTATTGAGCGATATATTTTTGGCTTATGGAAGCTAAACATGATAGTATTTTTCCTGAGTAGTGGCAGTGCAAAACTGTAAAATATAAATAATAAAACAAATTCATTCATTTTTCAAATAAGATATGTTTAAATTTTAACTTCAATTTACAATTAACAAAATAAAAAAGATACCCAGTTTTATTTAATTATCGATAAATTATTTTAATAGCAATAAGAATAAAGGGTGTAGGGAGTAGGTGAACAGTCCATCTCCATAAGGCTGTATTCTACTAAAGTTGTCACTTAAAGATTAATCAGGCTACAGGGTGTGTAGCCAGATTTTTTAACAAAATATAAGCACCTTTTAAGCACTCAAATATATATGTAATCACTTTCCAAAAAAAAAAAAATCATAATTAGAATCTGTGCGGTGATATAAAAAAAATTTCTATCATTTAAAGTTCTTAATTGATAAACATAAAATCAATAAAATTCAAAAATATTTTAAAAAAATTTATATAATAAAAATAAATAACTAATTTCTGATAAATATTGCAGATAAAATTTTGAAAATCATGCATTTTTTGTAATTTAAAACGGCAATCGATACGGCAAAGAAAAAATCTCTTTATAAAAGAAAAACAATTTATCACTTTTTACAAACCCTGAATTTAAAAAAAAGCACCTTTAAGGCCTTTAAAAAACGTAAATCAAGAATAAGCACCTTTAAGCACTTTTCAAAAACACTACGCACCCTGGGCTAGTCTACTGAAAGACAATTCAACTGATTTTTTTTTCCAAGTTAGTTTTTGTTTCTAATGAGTTTGAACTATAAATAAGTAAATTTAATTGGAGAAAAAATCAAACAATTTATTAAATTAATAGATTATAAATTTTTATTTTTAATGAAAATTGTCAAATTTCAAAGAGAAAACTGCTTTTCAAAGTTTCTGATGTAGTAATGTTCGTGCACATTGGAAAAATTACATGATAGATGCCTTTTGCAAATTATGCAATCTGATACTATCAGTACCTTATCAAGAGAGCATTAAGGGAGTTAAAATGAATTAAGAGCTTATGACGACACAAACAAATGACAAAACATTTTTTAACTAAAATTATACTCTTACTTGATCTAAAACTTTATTCGCTACAAAAATATACAAATATGAAATAACAATCTACATGTTTCCAGCACTTCAAAATAGTAGCTCATTTTCTAGACTTGTCCGACATGTAAAGAAACAAAAATGATTTGAAAGAAAAAATGTGAAGTAACCAACCAAAAATGGAAAAACAATAGTGAGAAACAAAACTCACCATTACTTTTTAGAAACAAAAATTACCATTATTTTCCATTGGTAACTTGACATTTTTTATTTCAAATCATGTTTGTTTCTTTACATTCATGCCTGGCAAGTCTTGAATTTGTTTTTTTTTTAACGGCAAGCATTAAACACTTGTTCTTTGCCTCGAAAAATGCTGGAAGTGCTGCTCTATGAAGTTACCCGATGCGCACCTGTGAACCTAAGTCACCGGAAGCAAGCAGCCACACTGCCACAGACACCTGTTCATAGCGTGGGTCCCATTCACACACAGAGAGAAACATCCATGCCCTGAGTGAGATTCGAACCCTTAAACCATTAGTTTCACAGTCAGGAAAGCTGACGCAATGAGGAAATTGAAAATGGACGCCTATTTTTGAAGCACTTAAAACATGTCGACCGCTATTTCATATTTGTATATTTCTAAAGCGATTGAAGTTTCTCAATTTTCTTGATTAAATTTATTGATTAAAATTTCCACAAAGGGTTAAAGTAATTTAAAGTCCACTAACCTTGCTGAGTTCTTCAAGACCCATCAATATCATGATACAAATAAAAAAAACTCTTAAATATTGTTTAATTTTATTTTAATTAATTTTTATTTTAAAGTAATTTATCGATTAGAAGAAATGGAAATTCATCAAACAACATACTATAAATTGAGGATTTCCTCACCAAGCGAAATTATACAACCACTACAGGCATGGTTTTGCAATATATGGGAAGATGTAAACAACACATGAAACAAAAGAAAAGTAGCTATTTTATGCTTGTTTCTGCTCATTTTATGTAAATGAAAATATGTCATTAGTTTGTCCTCTTCTACAATGAGTTTATGTTAAATCATATTCCTAATACTAAATTTTGCATATTCATTCTTAAAACAATTCAAAAAATTATATCCAGTTACTTTATTCTAAAAGTAAATAGGACAAAACTATTAAATATTTCTAAACATGGAAACACAGAAAATATTTCTAAATATAAATTCATGGATTAAATTAAAGTCCTCATTAATATTAAACAAGATATGAAACATATTTTCTACATTCTCATACAGCTTTGCACTATAATGATTCAAATCAAAAATATTTGTCTTTAATAGTAGCGTAATAACACTTTTTAGACTATAATATTAACGATTTATTTTTTCCATTTTAAGCTAATATCATTGTTTTAGTTAACTTTGATAGGAAAGTAAAAAACATATACAGGGTATCTGATAAATTTTAGATTTTCCAATCTATGACTTTTCATGACTAATTCCAAGGATTTTTCATGACTTACCAAAGTTACTATTTTCTCTGACCATAAATATAATAATTCTCCTTTATGCATGCAACCTTTAACCACTGGATATCACCACTCTCAAAGCTCCATGCCAGAATGGTAACATTTTCACACTTCTTGTAGGTTTTTCTTTTGATAATTTTGCTTTTCTTTTCTGCACAATTAATTCCCCTGCAGAATTATACTCTAAAGATACTTTTCTTGTTCAAGTAAGAAATGTTAATGATTTTCGTGTTCGCATTTGGGAATTTAAAAAAAATTCGCCAATGACTGACTTGCTTCAGCTAGAATTTTAAATTGATAAAAAAAATAATAAATAAATAATGAAATCAGGGAAGTTTAAAATATAATTCCCACTAAAAATGATGTTCTTTTGTTCATTTTTTTAAAAAACAGCATAAAAAACATTTTATATTTTTATAAAATGTGACAGTGAATGGGAATTTTGTTACAAATTCAGACATTCAAAACACTGTGAAATTGGGGAGGTAAATTCCATTTTAAAAATAAGATTTTTCAGCAACCAAAATCCATGACTTTCAATAATATTTTTTTAAAAAATAGTTAAAAGCATGACATTTCATGACAAATTTTGTTCAATACCAAAATTCATGACCCTCCAGGTGTGCAGATACCCTGCATATGCTCTCCATTGAGTTTATCAAAGGAAAGTGACTAAAGTAATTTAAATAATTCATTGCCTCAAGAATTTATACAGAAAGAATTTATGAAGAAAAACTTGTATTAGAACATTGAACTCATACTTTTAATGACAATCCATTTTATAAATGCATCAATATATAACAGAATAATTTTGACAAAACAATAGAATAACTTTAAGGCAATTCTACTATCAGGAATAAACAAAATAACACTGTAGTCTCTGAGGTTAATTACCGAGGGAAAAGTATACCTGCTAATCTCAATTTTTAAAATGCAGAAAATTCACTATAAAATTGCAAAAGAAATGACTTAAAATACAGAAGATTTTACACACTTTCACTTTTTATTTCTTTTTCAAGGAATCAACAATACAGCTATTGTACAGTCAGTTATGTAGTGTTTTAACATAATCAACTCAAATGAATATGCAATAGTAAAAATATATGATTATTTTTATTTGTACTATCAGCTGCTTAACTTATATTTTACATTAATCACAAACCAACAACATAAATCAGGCTAAAGCACAGCGAAAATTCAAAATATCTTTGATTGAGCAAGGCATAAGTGCTCACTTTTATATACATATATGCATACATAAGATGTCTAAGAAGGTACAAAATTTTAATGCACTTTCAAAATGCAGAAGATTTAAAGACATGCAGAAAGCTTCTGCAAAATGGAAAATTAATCAAAAATCATACTAGTATAATTTAATGTAAATCTTATGACTCTGAGTTTTATTAGTAATCTTGCTCCAAACATGCAAGAAACTAATCAAAACAGTCAAAACTTGGCGATTATTTTGGAGCAGGTACCAATATAGAAATCCTCAAAAAAAAATTCACGACTTCATATAAGTGTAAATTAAACATAGAAATGAATTGTTTAAATTATTTATAATAATTGAAAAGAACATGATAACAAAAATTAATTACCTAAACAAAACTAATAAGTAGAAATAAATATAATAGAAAATAATGAAAAAGGTGTTAATAAAAAAGAAATTCAACAAATCAAGAACGAATTTCGAACAAAACAACTGCATATCTACACTTAATATTGCGAAATTTAAGTATTATAAACATAAATATTGATCGCTAAAAGCAAATATTTTCCATCTTTAAAATATTTGATCCTATTTAATAGGCGGAAATGCTTCATAAATATATACTTAAGGAAATATTATTGCTATAGACACTGGCTCCATCAAGTTATTTTCGTTCCACCAGTTCAGAAAACAAAATGCATTTTTCACAATATATTAAGCATGACAGCAGTTATAAATTACTATTTATGCATTAATCAATTCCTACTTTATGAAATAATATCGAACTGATGAATTAAATAAATACGATTCGCTATTTGGAAGAAAACATTTCATGGCCGACATCATCTTACAGGTTTTAAGTTCTACAGCTAAGGGAAACGGAGATCTTTTGGTTTTAAATTATATTTTAGTCTATAATAAAGATAAATAGATAAGTGGCATTTGAAAGTTTAAGTGAATTCTAAATGTAAATACCTTTTCCTCTGGACGTCTTCCCATCCGCAGCCTTCTCGCTGGCCGGCGTCGAGCGTACACAACTTTGGCGACAAACCGATGGAACGATTGGCTACTTTCCAAACAGGTATGTCCAAAGCTAAGGGGTTGCAGTAAGTAATGTTAACTGATAAAATTAAAAAACATTGGAAGAAAATAGAAAAAAATTTTTAAAGAAAGTGCTTTATACTTCAATTTGAACATGAAGAGTAAATTAATAGTGTAAAATATTTAAACATAAACTGTCTTTGCATTTGAATTATTTAAATGACAACAATTCTCTATTTATCTTTCATTTGGCATTTGGCGTGATGAAGAAGACAGCAGAAGTTTTGGTTTTGTTTTGAAACGTTCGATTCCGAAACTGAAAAATTGAATAGCTTAAGCTTAGGAAATAGATATCTTTCGCAATTTGTTTAACGAGAAAAACAAATAAATAATATTAATCTTTATTATTTTATATGTTTATGATCGTTTGTTTGCAAACTCGAAAGATGATTAATTTTTTGGGAATGCGAATATTTAAGTCCATTCATTGTAATTTATAAAATATTAAAAAAGTAATTTCTTTTCTTTTTGTTATAAGTGTCATAATTATAATGAAATTTCTGATGCAGTAATTATAAGGAAAATATTTTCATTTTTAGTAAAAATTAAAAAAATAATGCACGTTAGAATATAAAAAAAGAGAAGCTTTATAACTTATAATTAATGAATGCTTAACGAAAAAATTAATAGAATTTAATTTTATTAAATTTAGAAAATTGATTTTACTTTTATTTTAATGATTCACTTTTATAAGAACTGATATTATTTAATAATAACTCTAATAATTCGATCGGATTGAATTGAATACGAGTTTTAAAACCGAGAGCAAAAAATTTAATGCTGTACTGTACTTAAACAGCATTACATACATATGGAAATCAGTGTAAAACATTAAGCCCAACTCAACACTAATTATTCGAATCATTAATGTCGTAATTATAATGTAATTATTATAATCAAAATTCTATTGAAAATATTATTTTTACCATAATTCTATTAAAATTATTATTACTGTCATTTTAAGTTTAATTAAATTAGTATTATTCTTCCAATAATCATTAGAAATTAAAATATTGGTTTAATAAGCATGATATAAAACGAAAGTTTGTCAATTTCTGGGTCTTTTATTTTTCTTATTAGTTATCGGCTTTCGATGTTTGTTAATTTTGTAGCATTCAAAATATAAAAGAAAATGTACTTTAAAAACAATGACAGTTAAATGAATGCTTTATTGGTAAACACACCAGTTTGATTTTCAAATAATTTTTATATTTACTGGGAACAAAAGATAATAATGTAAATAAACAAAAAAGTTTTAAGACGACACAACTGACGATATGATTCATTTAGAATAATTTATTTTGTTAACTAAAAAACTGATAGTAGTACCTTTAATAATCAATATTATTTAAATATCAGTTGTATTATCTTTTCAAATTTATTTTATTATCAATAATGACAAAATCATGCAAATAAAGACAGCAAACGATATGTAAAAAAGAAGAGAATTTTTATCTAAAATGAAGTCTAAAAATTATTCACCTAAAATGTCAAAGATTAAATACATAGGAGAAAAAAAGCTAAGTTATTTCAATCAAGAACAAGTTTTTAGTAAACCATTCAAAAAATAATATCGAAATCTGACGAATTATTATAAAGGTAGGTGGAATTCAAAACATCAAAGCTTTTTTAATTATCTGATAAGCCTGAACCGTGTTACTTTTATTCATTTTTCCATCATTATCTGAGTTACTTTTGTTCACTTTTCCATCATTATCTGTGTTACTTTTGTTCACTTTTCCATCATAATCAGTGTTACTTTTATTCACTTTTCCATCACTATTTGTGTTACTTTCATTACTAATATTAAGGGAAATAATGATAGAACACCTTGTGTAGGAGATGGTCATCTCAGAAGTATAGTGGGCCACTTTTAAAATGTGTTATTTTTTTCTTTTCTTTTCTTATTGTTAGATATTTCAAAATCACATGAATATGTAGAATTCAGTCATTTTAGGAAAATTCGTTATTCTCAAATGCATGAAGGTAGTTTATAAGTTCTCGCATTTACCAATTTGCGGTGATAAAAATGATACGAATTGATGCATTGTATTCTATGAATATCAGTGGTTCAACTGGATTTTATAATTATCAGAAGAAGAAAAAAAAATAATAAATAAAATACCAGTGATGCTTAGTTCTTAATGTTCTTTTTTTTACATTTCATTTATTTATTTATTTGATTTGAAAATAGTTCTTAAACAGGAAATAATTGGCAATAAAGAGTTCTTTCTGACTTTTTCTTTAAATAAATATTTAAGAATATCTGTAGTTTGCAAGATTGACCAAAAAACGGCAAAAACGTAATAAGATTACGTGGCACAAAGTGCATTCTAAATATGCACAACTTTGTGTTAAATCAGCGGTTTCCAATTCTTTTTCGGTTATGGATTCCTAAATGATCGAACTTGTTTTGGCAGAACCCCGACTTTATATATAAAATTTCTCAACAATTATGTAACTAAAGAAAAACAACTAACTATTTTGAAAATATTTATTGTGAAGAAGGTAATTTTTTTTTCATCGTTCTGTCCATAACGTTCTTAAAATTAGGTTAATGTCAAACAGTAAAAAACGGAATCTAGTCCAGTCTTAAAATTTGTTATTGGAGTACGCATGTGCTAAAAATGAACAAAATAAGATGAATTACTGTTTTTGTTGGGAGGAAAAGGAAAAAGGACTCATATAAATACTAAAATCATAGATATAAAGATCCCCTATATTAGTCCCTGGCTAAAATGGTTATATAAATTTAGTTCTTTCATTTGGAATTGAAAAGTTAGATGGGAAATACAAATTACATTTTTTATAAATTCATATCTTTTATGTAATTAATCCGGACTCGCAGTGGCATCACTGGCATCACTGGCAGCGATCAGTGTGCGAGTGAGTGACCACTTGGATCAGTTTGCGTAGAGGCCGAGGATGTGCGGTATTGGACTTCGTTAAACTGTTNCAAATTACATTTTTTATAAATTCATATCTTTTATGTAATTAATCCGGACTCGCAGTTGATTGATCATTAAGACACGGTTTCCAGCAGATCATCGAAGTCAAGCATCACTGGCTGCGGTCAGTGTGCGAGTGAGTGACCACTTGGATCAGTTTGCGTAGAGGCCGAGGATGTGCGGTATTGGACTTCGTTAAACTGTTCTACCGTAAAGTGCTCGACTTCGCGTGCAGGTCGTCGGGCTACTGAAGCGGAGGTGCCATTACCTCTGAAGAGGATCGAAATTTTGATGGCATGTCTTCGGATCATCCTCAGGGATGTTTCCCAGATCGTCGCCAAAATACCCCCATTGTGCACGCTCTAGTGCGACGTAAATGAACTACAACAACAACATTTTATTTGAATAATTTCAAAAAATGACCAAAATACTAAAATAATGGATTATTCATTGAATATGAATGTAATTACTGAATTTATGAATCATAACTCACTAAAACAGTCCCAACTCTCGGAACCTCTCAATGTGATCCTTTCTTGGAACCCTAGGATTCCGCGGATCATCTTTTGGGAACTGATGCATCAGATGTTGTTATTCATTTATTATTTAATTATTATATCCCAGTTACACCAAAATTTAAGAAAGAGTTAACTTCCCATGTTAGTTTTTAACCACATACATATGGATTAAAATGTAATTTTAACTTTTTTCACAGCCTTTCACAAATAAATGGCAACTTTTGCAGTTAGATTTAAAGATCAAGGGTAGTAATTACTGAACACTCTGTCCTCTTAAGGGGAGTCCATCAAGCTATGAAGATAGCAATTTGGTAAATGACACTCCGAACTAAAGTTATTTAATATTTTATTTGTTTATTACTGAGTATGATGTCACATTTTTTTCACTAAAGTGTCTCACTTCTATGTACCCCCTTTTCACGGGTCAGTCTATATTACATCTCATAAACAAAGTACTACAGCCAAATTATTAGAACCATTACAAAATTCTATGTAAAATCTTATTATCAGGAGACAGCATTATTGTTTTTACGCTTCTTACACTTGTTTACGTTCGTGTATCAATTGGTTAATTTAGACGGTTTGATAAATTAGACGAAATATTATATAAATATAGATTATATCAGGTAATTACATTTGTTTATTATAATAATTAAACCAAATCATTAGAAGCACTGTAGTGTTTTAATAATTGTATGTTTTGCATAAGGCAATACTTTTATATTCAAACATACACGCAATGCGTTTTTATTCAGGGGATTTTTTACATACTTATGTTCTTCCTATTGGTATTTATTTTTAACGTATTGCATTACAATGTTAACCAATTGATACAATAGCGGAAACAAATGCAAACCGGTTTCTTCAAAGTAAAAACAATACAGCGGTATAGTATCACCTGATAATTATAATTTTACATAGAATCTTGTAGTGCGTCGAATACTATGGTCAGGGACTGTACAAATTCCCCCCCTCCCCCCAAAAAAAGAAGTTTTCATTTTGACATATTTATATTAAATAACTAAAAACTAACTCAGTGGCGCGACAGCCCATTAAGAGGGCCAAGGCCGACTGTGCCCATCTCAGTTTTCTTGACCTTGGGCTCTGGGGTGCAGGAGCATATGTTCCGGTCAGGTGGTCAGCCGAACTCGGAACCCCCAGTGTTAGTTCCCAAGCATGCTTGGTACTCATTTCATCGACCCACTGAAGGGATGAAAGGCTGATTTATATTAAATACAAATTACTTTAACGCTGATTTCTATGGAACTATAAATCACTATAAATTATTTCCCAAACAAGGTTTTCTTAATTCGGAACTTATTTATTTTTGTATTATACTTGTATTTATTTTTAACGTATTGCATTACAATGCTAGCCAATTGATACCCGAATATAAGCAACTGTAAACCGGTTCAAGTAGCGTCAAAACAATAATGCTGTATAGTATCACCTGATAATTAAGATTTTACACAAAAT